AATATAAAATTTATAATTGCAAAATTAAAAAATTCTTATTTTGCAGAACTTAAAATAACAGAAAAATAATTTATTATCTTTGTACGAAATTTCTAAATTATTAAAAAATACTTATTGAAGTTACGAAAAAAACGAACTGTTTCAAAAATTATATATGAAGGACATTCCATAAATTTTCCTATAAACCTGAAGGTTATAACTACATAGTAAAGAAAGTATTTGAAATCGAACAGGTATAGATTTTTTTTTTCTTCATTAAATTCTTTTCGACGTACTTAGTGTAAGCTTACCCATTTATAATTTCCATCGTAATTTTATTAAAACTATCGTTATTTTTTCCAATAAACTCCTTTCATTACACATAAACACAGAAGAAAATACTTTTATGATACTACAAAGCGAACAAAATAAAAAAAATTGATGACTAAACAAAATTAATATTTAAAAAATTAAATTTAATAATAAATTCGTTGTTGCGTCTTTGAGTCTTTAAAGCACTTTTAATTAAATTTTAATTACGTTTGAACTTTGCACACCACTAAAACTAGAATTGAACTGAACTGAGCGAACTGAATTCACCTGCCACGTACTGAATCAACAAAAAACGCAAGAAGTATAGGAAACACTCTTCACTAGTAACAAAAACATAAATATTACAAAACGTATAGCCATACAAACAAATTTATTTGAAACACTGTTATTTACCACATATACAACAGTGTTCTTCAGATACTGATACTCTTATAAGGCCACATAAAATCTATGCTTATATACATGATAATATATATGAGGAAAAAAATTTACGAAATAGCGACAAAATTACAGAAGAGATTCCCTTTATGGCCTCAAACAGTATGAGCTTTCAGTCAACAGCAAAAGTGGTTGGTTCAAAAAACGAGGGATGTGACGAAAATATTTTTTGTATTTAAAAAAATGAGGCAAAACAACAAGAGAGTACCAAATGTGGAAGTTTGTAATTGTACCCGTGCTACTTAATTCACATTTGAGAAAACTATAATAAGTAAACAAAGTACTATTATCCAAAACCAAATCGAAATACCTCCACTAAACTAAGAAGTAGGAACACCGTAGTTATAACACATTAAGAAAGATCATTGTTAAATCAACGCTATCATAACATTGCATAATGTAATATATAGCATATCCATATAATAATTGTTAATTAGAGAATACAATAGACTATTTGAATCAAATAGTCTATTTGAATCAAATAGTCTATTTGAATCAAATAGTCTATTTGAATCAAATAGTTTATTTGAATCAAATAGTCTATTTGGCTACGAAAAACCTATCATGTAAATAATAAGATAAATCAAATCTTTTGAATTTTAAATATTGAGTACTTTTCATTCTTTTACAACGGAAACCTTATATTCTGTATGGTCAGGATTCTATATAAAAGTATACATATATATTATAAACTTCAAATATATGATAAGACAAATTTATTTAACAGATCTTGATCTCAATACAAATTCAATGAAGTAACACTATTGTCTATAACTGATACTCATTTTAAGCATGTAAGTAACTATTGAGCTTTTGTACTTGTTCTTCATACATGTCTTTACTTTACTTGAGCTTCATGTTTTGTATACAACAAAACAAGGTAATTTATATACTCCAACACAAGTATAAAATCTTTTGTACAATCAATTTCGTATATGTAAAAATTAAATCTAAACTATAATATACATTAATCTTCAATTATACTTGCTTTTCTATCGAGTTAATCAAGGTTACACGTTCTCAGTTTAGTACAGGAATTCTACAGCTTTGAACAGTGCTACCAGGAAGTTAGACTTAATTACTATTGTATTTATGTTTATATTTATTTATTTAGAAATTTTCTTATAATATTATAAAGTTAAAGTAGTGAAAAAACTGCTAATATCAGCTAACAGAAAACTTAATATAATCACTTTCATAAATGAAAATAAAAATAAGGTAATAAAAGTGAGAACTTAAGCCAGATTAAGTATTGTTGTTACTAAGATTGGATGAGGTGTGAAAGTTAATGCATCTAAACGTTTTTGTAAACTAGAAATCAGCGTGAAATTTATATTCGAAAAAGATAACTATAAATGTATTAGAAAAATGTAGTTAACTCGATTGTCAAGTTAAATTTTTAGTATAAATATGGAGCTGATTAATGTAATCTTAAGAACTGAGACTTGGAATAGCAAATACGTAAAGAACAAAATCATAGTATATGCAATATTAATATTTAATATTTTAAAGAATATTAAAACAGTTTTTGACACGCTCGCTTGTTTTATCTTTATTACAACTAGACAGAGTTTTGAAGCACGTCTGTATTATTTTTTGCACCGATAATGCACATGTAAAGAAAATAAAAGAAATATTTAAAATATCATTGAAAATCTACTTCTACAACACATCAATTCAGGAAGAAACCATAGTTACTTCGCAACTTTTAACTAATAAACATTTTGTTACTGAAAGTAAATTGAGTATTCACGAAGATCCTTAGAGAGATGTCGCTTCAGAAACGTCAATGCTAACGAGGTTGGTGATGAACTTTGGTAGCCAAAAACAATCCAAAATTGTTAAATTCAATTGTTTTTTGATATTATTTTGTCCGAGATACAAATAGCAGGCTAAATACCAACAGCGAATATCATTGATAAGAAGTTAATTGTAGTAGTACCCCGGTACTAGCCTAGAATACTTAACTATCTAATTAATCAGGTCTTATGTCTTTTGTATAGTGTCTAAAATATATATGTTATAATACATGTGTGAATTACTTAACATTTAAGAAAAAATATGCAATAATTTTTTTGCTTAAGTTTTTTATCAGTTAATAGTTAATATATATAAATAAAGAAGACTATATTAAAAAAAAACTAGTATCATAACACCTGAGATCTTTTTAAATATTGAGTATAAGTCTTTAAAGATTGTTTTAGTTAAAAAAATAAATGAGTATGTTAGAAAAACTTATATTTTAAATGGGTGCATGATCAACAATAGTATGAAAAATAGAAATTTAGAACCAATGATAATTTTTTATTACTGGTCAATTTTTTATTACTGGAATCTATACCATAAATAATTTTTTATAGTATAGTTTCCAAAAAGCAATACTCTAACTTTCTCTTGAAATTAACAATATATTTGTAAGGCTGTTGTATGCAATAATAATACTCGTTTATCTAACGAAAAGAATGCATCACTATTCTTTTAAAAATACAATTCTACAAAAGTTTTCATTTATTATTCATTTTATACATTTAATTTCTTTATATTATTTCTATTAATTTATTTACTGTTATTTATATTGTTTTAAAATTAGACTTCAACTTGCTTTGTAAGACCGACATCTTGTCCATAAATTTTAATAACTTTTTTTAACTTTTAATAACCATTAAAATTAAGTTGATAAAACTAGTAAATGAAAATATAAGTGCAACACTTAAGAGCAACATATAAACTTCTTATCACGGCACATGAATTTCTTCTACAGCGTCGCTTTATAATTGCACTTTTTTAATGTTAGAACTTAAAAGTTACACAAGAAAATTAATATTTTATTAGTATGAAATGAACTCATTTCACAACCCTCGTTCACTTTATAGGGTTGCATAAACTGTTAACACCTCTCTTACATTCGCTCTGTTTTTCGTTCTATTTTCTTATATTAATGACATATGGTATACCTAAATAACAATAGAGAGTAATTACAACAATATTCAATTCCAAAAAGTTTCACGAGACCGGAAAGAGGAAATAAAACACAATTCCGCTTATTTTCAGAGGGTGGAATCTGAGGGTTGAGCAGCTAATTTCATACCATATAGTCATAAAACCTATGGGTACGAAAAATGAAACAAGAAGAAGATGAAAAACCTAACATGTGAAACAAATAAATGATTTGACATAACAAAACAAAAACCCAAAAACAAACTCATTGAAACCAAAACAAAATGGAATAATAATAAAACAACATAATAGCAAATATATTTTCAAAAAATTATTAAAAATTTAGATTTTTTAAGAATGTTTCAATAATTTAATTAAAAATTTATACTAGGGATTTAAGAGTCTCTAGCTTCCAACAAACATACCGAACACATTTAAATAAAATATGTAACTCAGTTTCGAATTCACTTCAACTTCTTGGATTTTTTATTACTATAGAAATCTATTATTACTATAAAAATAGATCCAATGAATTTATAGTAACTGCAACTTTAACGCAAATAAAAGGTATTCGGTTTATAACAAATTTAGGTTCTACCATATTGTATAACTTCTAGTACACTATAACACCTTTACACCGTTAATTCGTGGTGTTTTTCGCAGATAGTATGTCAAAATACACAACTACTTACTCACCAATCCCTCCAAACACTTGATAGTGCTCACGCTCATAGCTTCGTATTACCCATTTCTCCATGCTAGCTGTGGCTACGAAAAATATAGGTTAACTTTTAACGATTTAGTGCGCCATAGTAAAAAAATCGAATATTCTCATAGATTTATACTTATGACATGACATATTCATTCACATGTGTACATCGTTCGTGCATACATATATGAAGGATTCCAAAGACTAACAAGATATTTATCATATATTTTAAAAGAACAACACTTATTATTATTTAATTTCAAATTCAGATTAAAGGTAGTACAAGTTTCAACTGTCTATGCTCTACTTACTGCTATCAATTGAAGGATATAGAAGATTTGTATTACGATAGCCTTCTTGTGGAGTGCTATCATGTTTTTAAAAGTTATTTTACACATACACACTAACACTAGATATGTTCATATTATATTTACAACGACACCAAAAAAAAAGTTAAGGATAATTTGCGGCGTTTGTATTTAGATATTACGTAGTCACTCATTCGGAGCGGACGAGTAAAGTAAAAAACAATTATCTTATAAAAACAGCACTAATACAGAATATATTTTAAAAGATTTAACAAAAAATTTGTTCATTTATTTACCTCCTCCTTAGAAACGGTCTCATCATCGGATTTCAGAACATTTTCCATAATGGAATTGTGGCCTTCATGAAAACAACGGCTACTTTTAATAACAGAACTTTTTATGTACTTGAATGTAGTAAAAGTAGATCTTGGAGTGCGAAGTCTTCTACCGCGGGTTTGGTCAATAGAATTTTCTAAAATATAATTATTTAACTGAACACTGCTTCCGAATATTGAACGAAACGAACATAATTGTTTTTTAACCAACTCCGCTCTACTAGCACTTGTTATGTAGCTGCGACGCGAGCAAAATGTGTACGGATAGTCGCCTTCTGGTATTCGTGATGGCTGCTTTGTAATCGAACACGGACTAAAATCGCCGGTAGGATGTGTATCGTGGGTGACTGTTTTATTTGTTGTTCCGTTATTCCGTTGTTCGAGGGAGTTCAAGGATAATACACAATTTGCTTGTTTCGTTTCCAATGTGTAAGCTTCAGCACTTGAGCCTGTTTTAAGCGAATGGTTATTGTTATTATCACAATTGTTCTTCCGTTTCAAATTCACTTCTTCAGTGCGCAGTTGCGAAACATCGACGCATTTGTTTTTGACAGTACTGCTATACTTCAGCGGATGAAAGTTGCGATATCTTGGTATCCTTGTTGGCTTGTGTGATTTCGCAGGTGGTATTGGCACACTTTTCTTGATAGTTTGATTTCGTTGAAGAGTTGTTGTGGACGTTAAAATTTTGCCGGTCTGGTAAACGTTTGATTGAGCTTCTGATTTCAATGTGGCTGGAATTCCTGCACAAACTGCTCTATGCTCACAAACTACTTTAATTCGTTGTTTAGTTAATGATGGAATAACAATCTGTTGTTGTGCTTTCGAATAACTCGAATTAAAAACATTTGAAGCAGCACGTGATGTAGAAGCTACGACGAATTCAACAGATCTATACTCACAAGTACTTCCAGTTCCTTTCGCAAACAATGACGAAAAAGATGTAGGTTGTTTTAGTTTTGAACACGGTAAGTTTTTAGTAGTACAACAAACCTTTGGCACAACTTTTGGTGTGAATGTTACGGGAATTTTGGTAGACTTATGCTTAAAAACTTTTTGAGTTTTTCTCTCATTCAATGATGAGGACGAGTTCTGTTGTGTTTTCGAGCACAACAAATCTTTAGCCGTACGACAAACGTTTGATCCAACTTTTGGCTTTAATGTGCTTATAATATGTACGGATCTGTGCTCACAAACCTCCGTTTCTTCTACTAAAAACAACGGCGAGAGTGTTTGTGAGCTCGACAGATCCTCACCAGAAGAACAAACTTGTGGTTCAGCTTTTGGTGTACTTGTTAATAAAATATTTAAAGGCCTATAACAAGAAACTGCTGTGCTTTGTTTTTCCACCAGTGCTAAAATATTAAGCGGCTGTAGTCTTACTGAGCAAGACAAATCTGTATCGTCATGAGGTATGATTGGACTATTACTTGATGTAAGTGGCAATAGAATTTCTTTTTGTTTATCCGGAGAAATTTCAATATTTTGTTCTTCCAATAATGTTGAGTTAATGAGAGATGTTTCCGACGACATTATGTCGAGTAAAGTGCAAGTTGCGTTTCTAAAAGATAAAAACGATTTTAACTTAAATTGTTAAAATACTAAAAATATATTTATTTTTTCAAACTAAATTTATTTAATGAATAATAGCAACAAAAAAAAAGACAAACTGAATAAGTATCTTAAGTAGCTTGAAATAATATAGTTATTAGTACCATTGGTAGCAATATTATTTATAGTTTCTTTAGTTCATTATAATAATTGTAATACAAAGTATCTTTTGTGTAATTAACAAACCCAAATATTTTTCATTATTTTTTTTTACCTATAAGCTAACAACAGGGCTGAAAAACCATTTTAGTAAAATCCAAATAATATAATAAAAAACATATCCGGCAAACAACATTGTAATTTCACAAAGTTAAATACAAAACTTTATTGAAATTTTCCTAAATAATAAATAAATAGAATAATTAATAATTTGAGGAAAATTAAATTTAAAAGCAAAAAACAAATTCTTCCCTATTATTTGGTAATTAAAACTATTTTCGATTGTATTTTCCTTTTAATTATTTAAACATTTCACATTGAGTAATCCGCACCAATGGACAGACGGACAACTATTAAGTTGAAGATATCTCAGATTTTAATAAAAAAACTAAATCACATAATTCATAATTAATAAATCATTTTTAGAGTACGTACAATTTCAAGAAAATGTATCTAAAAAGTAGAGTTATGCCGCAGAAGCCAAAAATGTAAGAAACAAATTTTAAAATTTAAGCAGATCTTTTTTAAAAATAATACCAAAACAGTTGTTTCGCTTTACATTTAAAATCAGAAATTTTTAATATTTACTAAGAATCTTATATGCATTAGGAAAAATGCTATTAAAAAGAAAGTGAATGGTTATTTGAGTGAATGCACGTAGTAACTTTGAGATACATTAGAGATTTCAATTAAAATTAAAAAAAAAACAGATTTTATACAAATATCAGCAGTGGACCGGAAATTGTTACAAAATGAAAAATGTTTTAAAAACTTTTTAAGTAGAGTTTTTACATCTTACTTCAGCGTCATCATCAAATTTATTATTTTAAATTCACTAACAGATTCTTAATGGTTTCTAGGCTCGATGGGGCTCATATTACCATAATTGAAATATTTTAAGCTGCATTTGCAGACAAGGTCGATTGCTCAATACTGGCACGTTTACTCAGCTATAAGAATTATGTGAAAGTAGTTTATGGAATGTTAAATGAACAGTTGGGCATTTTGTTAAGAGCAGAAGACAATATAAAAACAGCAAATGATGTTTAATATCTGATACGAGTATATGTACTGAAATTTCTTATTTAAGATATCTATAACTATTTGGATGCATTTAATCCAAGACGACCGCATAAAACGTTTAAAGAAGTTAAGCTTAAATACAGAAGCCTGCCAATATGGAAGCTCTTCATTTGGAGTCGTTAAAAGGATTTCATGTACCTGATCCAATTACAGATACAATTTTTGTATTTACACAACTATTTAAACCAACTCATAAATCAATTTTCAAAGTTGTGTAAGAAGTTGTAAATACATAACATATTTATTTTGGAAAGAGACTCGTTGCCCTTTACAACATATAAAATAACACAATATCATCAAAGATATTCACTATTATAAGAACTCGAATTATATATATAATATTATACAATTATATATATTAAATTATTTATAATAAAATATATAATATAATATGTATATAATTCTTATGGCACTAGTGTTATGTACTTAACCTAATGCCTCATTTCCACTATGACAAATATTATCAGTATAAAGAAAACGGGTAGTCATATGATGTCATATGCATTCTTGTTATTTTTGACAAGTGATTTATGTGTCAAATAGTTTTCAAGTAAAAACAGCAAAATTTCATTTGACAACTGGTATGACAGAGAAAAATAAATTGCCAGCAGGTTGGCAATGTGTTTGCATATGACAGTCGTTTGGTAGACTTTTTTAAAAGTAGATTGAAAAATTTAACACAGTTTGAACAATTTCTGTTAAATTTTAAATTTAATTGTTGAAATGTATTAAATAATGTGTTATTTAAAAATGTACTTGTCTGTTTCTAATACTTCAATTCAAAGAACATCGTTACTGGCTATTGCTTCCAAAATAGGAGTGCGCAAAATGCAATAGCCTTCGTCGTTCATTCCGAATAATTCTTATAAACACTTAGAGTATGTACATTAAGACCGAAAAGTTTTCGGAAATTCTCATTTAAAATTCGCGCGCTGTATATTTTTCGATATTTTAAGTTTATGTAGTTTGGCAGCACTGTCCTTAATTACTATGCCAAAAATGAGCGCGATCTGTCAGACAGTTCGTTTACGGCAGCTGTTGAAACCAGTTCACCTCAGTAGGGCGTTGCGAAAAAAACAATGGAAAAAAATATTGAACAAAGAGTTTGCATCAAATTTTGTGTTTCGAACGAAATTTCGTGTGCAGAATCGTTGCGAATGCTACAAAAGGCTTATGGGGAATCAGTTTTATCGAAAACTCAAGTTTATGAGTGGTACAAAGCCTTCCAGGACGGTCGTACGACCGTCGAAGACATTTCGCAACGCACTACTGAGGTGAACTGGTTTCAACAGCTGCCGTAAACGAACTGTCTGACAGATCGAGCTCATTTTTGGCATAGTAATTAAGGACAGTGCTGCCAAACTACATAAACTTAAAATATCGAAAAATATACAGCGCGCGAATTTTAAATGAGAATTTCCGAAAACTTTTCAGTCTTAATGTAAGTTACTATAGTAATGCAAATTTAGGCAAATTTCAATAAAATGGAACAAACAAGGTGCTAAAAAATGTATTCAATGAAGTCTATACACAATTCCCTAAGATTTTTAGAGCCTACACTGCAAATTAATGCATCGACAACATCAAATTTATTAAGTGAAAATGCCAAGTATACATACAGAAATGCGGTCCACGAAGTAATAAAAATCTTTTAAGTTTATTTTTAAAAAATTAAGAAATCAATATGGTTCTTGTAGTGCCAGCATATTGCGTAATGTACCGTGAAATCCGATAGCGGCTCTTTGCCTCAAACCAGGACTAATCCACTAATTCTTTTTTTTTAATTTTTTAATGTATGCGTTTAAAGCTACCGTTAAAGTTTAAAATCTGTTTTGTTTTTTAAGAATGTTAACTTTTATTTCGTGCGTTATTTTTTAGTATAATTCTATACGTATTTCGGCAAATTCGCTTTTGCCTTCATCAGGAGGATTCCTAATATTAAAAACATCTATGCAACTTACAAGCTATTTATACTTATTACAGGTCTTATAATTTAAATCTAATTGGTAGGGTTATTGTTGTTTTTGTCCTTGAGGGTGTTAGGTAAAAAATGGTGGGATGGGTTAGTTTTTGTTGTTCAGGCTTAATCATGCGCAGGTAGTTCGGTCAACTGGTTGGATTTGTTTTTTGGGATGTATTTGAAAAGCCATGATGATACGTTTCCCTTATCGCCGTTGAGTAACGGTGTTGCCTGATGTTTGTGTATTTCGATGCTCTCTGCCGTTTCTAATTTCCAGGTATCCCTTACGTTTTTAATTATTTGGGCATTCTCTTTGTTGATGTGGTGTTTTTCCGTTATTATATGTCTGGCGACATTTGATTTTATGTGAGGGTTTATTTTTTTCAGTGCTTCCCTCGCTTCTTTTAGGTGTTCTTCGAGCCTTACCGATAAGGGTTAAAGTTATTGTAGCACTGGCAAACAAAACTTTCCTTTAGAATTTTCCTCACTTTACTAAATATTCCTTTATTTTGTTTTTGTATCAGATGTATAAAATTGTCAATTTTTATTTGACATCTGTTATGAAAACATTATTATGTTATGTTATGACACGCCAGTCAATTATGACAATTGTTTTGTAATTTAAAATGACATAACGAAAACAAGGCATTATAAAATAAACACCACGTTATAGTATCTGTAATTAAAGCAGTATTAAAAGGAATGAAACAAATATTTTGTGGGTTGAATAAAGTTTAGATTTTATTCGTCGCATCACATATAAGCCGAAAAGTAAACTAATAAATAACTGAACGAAGTTATACAACCAATATTAGCAAATAAGACAAAATAACTTAATATATCTTATATTTATTTCCATTCCACTCCAGCAATAATATCGATTTATTCGGTTAAGTTCCGGTTCTAGTATTCACGATCTCGAGTGATATAGCAATACCATAGTGACAACAAAAAAATGCTTTTACCCACAAGCTCGGTACTTCAGATCGTAAAATTCACTAATATGTTATTGTGAATATATATGTTTATTGATATATACGTTTATACGTTTATCCGCCTTTGTTACTCCTTCTAGTGATTTACTCCTGTATAAGGTTTTCGCTTCGGTTCTGGTGTCACTAATATCCTTTCAAATTTGTGAGATGTCAAATATCAGTTTCTGAGTTTTTCTGGGTTGTACAAAAAAAGTTTTGCAAAAATAGTCCCCTTGCCAAATTTGGATATGTGCACAAGAAATGAGAGCTTACTAATTCTTTCTCTCTTTTTGCTAGAAACCACAAAGATCGTGAGTTAGAACACAAAATTCTGTGCCTGTCCGAACAGTTACAAGGGATATATTGCCAAATGGTGTCAATAAAATCAATATAAATTTTTTTTTATCAAAATAATAAAATTAACTTGTTTTCTAAATAATTTTATTACTTTTTATTAAAGCAAACAGCATTTCAAAATATAAAACACACGCCTTCATTTAAACACCTAATCTGATAATTTTAATTCCAATTATAGGTTTGGGTTTTGGCTTACTAGATTGTGGAGATGAGCGGCACTTTAAACTTGTGTCGCTCAAGTCCTCTTGAATTTCGCACATCTTTCTGCATGAAAACGTGGGAACGGTTGACACTGCATTCTCATCGTCAGGGGTTTCTGGTTCTATAAGAGCAAGTCTTCTTTCTTCTGCAGTTCGCCATTTAAAAGCATTATCATACCATTGAAATTTAAGTCTCAATATATTCAAAATAAAGTATTTTGGAAATGAGCCAAGCATTCGATACTCACCAAGTGCATAGAACACTGTTTTAAAGCCATCAAACAAATAACTAACCATTATGGGATAATCCATGGGCATTTGCGCTGATACATGTATACGAAACCTAACATAAGCAACAGTTACCGGATTTGGATTCTTTTTTGTTGGTACTGAGAACATTGCTTTTACAAAGAAATTTGAGCCCAATTCAGCAATATCTTCAAATCTATTTTCATTGAGAAGTGAGTACTTTATTTGACGTGGTAAATGCCATAAATCAATAAAGTCACGTATATTTCTCACAGCCTTCAGATATGAAAAGTCTTCAATTGAAACCCATTGAACCCGTTCACCATATAAATCTATATTCTGCATTTCAGATTGATCCTTCTCACAGCTTTCTTCTAGCGATGAACTACTCTTCTCTGGTATTATAAATGGACGCTTGTACATGAAATATCGATGTCTGTCCCTCGCGAGTTTATTTAGAGCTCCAGTAATTACTTCATTTACAAAATCTTCAGCGGGAAAGGTAATACTACCATAAAACCTCTTACGATACTTGTGCAGCATGGCTAAATTATAATAAAATAAATATACACTATTTTGTTTCGGTGTCTTTTATTGGCAAAAACACAAAGTCTAAACTGATTTAAAACACAAAATAAAAATTATTTTTATGTATATAGAAATTAATTTTAAACACAATGTCTACTATATTATTGCATTATTACTTAGCAAATGAAACTTTAGAATAATACAAACAAAGTTTATTAAAAATAAAATTATTTTAGAAAAAAAGTTTTTTCTATAGAACTCTAAGCAGAATCATATATTTCATTATTATTCATTCCGAAAAAGCAAAACAATTCCGATTTTAAAACAAACAAAATAAATCGGTGATTTAATTCAGATTATACTTCAAATAGCTTTTGCATCCGCAATATCATTTGATTTGGCATCTAGCGATGACAATCTTCTCGCATATCTCAAAAGGTCTGCGTGAAAGAAAAGGAGATGTAAACCATAATACAAGTATACAAATCAAGTATACAGATTTAATGATAATCTTTATAAAGCTTTGATATGTTTCATATCGCAAAACAAAACAAAACCAAACACAATTTTAAACTAATATTATGTTATGTAAAAAGACTTGAATTTCCATTCAGAGGTTTCTAAGTAATATTATTAAAAAATTAAAAATGCTTTATATATTATTTCGCAAGTAAAAAAATAAAACAAACAGTTGTTATAAATAAAAATTAAGAAAAAACAACGAACTATTTTACAGATAATTTTAGTTTATTTTTAATATTTTCTCTTTAGTCCAGAATCATCTTTCCTGAACATAATAATAAGAAATGCATTTACTTCTTTTGTGTGATGTATTATTAAGTGAAGTTAATAAAATTGTATGAAAGTTCTATTAGCTGCATAAATAAGCTCATTATTTGTGAACTAAATGTTCACTCATTAATATAAATGAGTAAGACAGTGTGAATGTACTATGAGACAACACTGTATTAAAATATTTATATATGAGATTAGCAAATCAACAGCAGTCATCCTAGAGGAGAATGGAGGCTTCAAAAACAAAACCACGAGGCTTCAAAACACGTAACCGCGCATCAGCAAATAATATTCCAAAAGTTTTGTCATTTATACTAGATCATCTGTTTACCCTCTATATAAATAACAGTTTTTAAGTCATTTTAGTGCAGCATTTAAAAAACAACCTCAGATATGAAAATATAAGTAAAAATATAAGTTTTTTCCCCATGTTTTTTATGAAATATGTAACTTATAAATAAAAAATTGTAAAATGAATGCTACATATATTAATTATATAAATTTACCTAAAAGTAAACTAACGCTATAAAAACCACTTGATCAGCAATAAATTTCGGTTATTCTTCACTCTCGGATGATTTCAAATATATATTTTAAAGTAATTTTTTTTTCGAATTATGCACACTTGATTTAATTTAGTTACTATATAGCTGTCTGAAAAAACGAATATGAAAGTATATTTCGAAGTTCGAAATTTGTTCGAATTGCATGGAATGTCAGTCTTGCTTTATAATTTTTAAAGCGAATATTTTTTTAAGCGAATACATATATTTTATACTTGATAAACTCACCATCTTGTTTATTTATCAAGGTTGACTATTTATCAAGGTATGGTAATTTGTGCCATAAATAAAAAGGTATTTTCTTGAAAATTATCAGTATGACAAATGCTTTGGACAAAAAAAGAAGCTATTAAGAATTACTGGATTCATAATTATTTATTAAAACATAAATTTAAATTAAATTTAAATAAATTTAAATTTAATAAATTTTATGTAATGAAATTGATAAAAAAAAATATAAAAATATGGTAGTATTAAGTTGTTTATCGCCATAATAAAATTGTTTGTATATAAAACACTGTTAAGTACAATGTGGTGAAAAGCTTTAGGCATTTGAGCTTTGAAGTTCATTAATATTTGCTCAGAACACCGAACAGCTCTTGCTTGAACAAAAATCTCGATAATTTGTCAATACTCGATAAATTTATTAAGTTCACAGAAAATGGGGTTAATATATATATAACAAAAAAAAATTTTAAATCAAGATTTTTCAAAGTTACGAGCATTTCAGTAAAATGTATGAACGACTTTTTATGAAGAAAGATTAAAAATCAAATTTTTCATTAAAAAAATTGTAATGTTAATTATATAAGAATATAATAGTCTAACTAACGTTAATAATCAATTACAGAAGCAAAAGAATTAGGTATGATATATTAAACATTTTTAATGAATTATATATAATATTAAGTTGTTGCGTTAAATTTATCGTTTTTAATATGTGTTTGTTTTAGTTTCCATTATTTGAAAGTTTAAAATTATAAGTATTTAGTTCCATTGTCTATAGAATCCAATAAGTTTAGCTTTATTAAACGCACAAGTAGACTTACTCTAACTGCAAAAATTTTATTTTTTATTTCTAATTTAATTGACATTGGAATTTATTCATCAGTGTGATTGCTTCCAGTCTTCTAAGTACAAAATTTATAAATATTGAACTTCTGTTTCGAAAAATAAACATTTCAAAAGGCAACACTGTTTTTCTGTATATTAATTAACTTGTGTCAGCCATTTTGAATGGCTAACCCATATAGTTTGGAATAATTCATATATATCTATTTTTAAGGTAAACTTTTTTATCACGCGGGATTATGAAATCTTTCAAGATTTTATCAAAACAGAGCAAAAAACTAATATAATTTTTACATATCCCACAAGACACATACATATTACGACAACGAAGCAACTCATTAAACATAACCTCAAATAGAATCAAAGCATGCATTATATATTAGGGGTATTCAGGCAACTGATTAGTTGCTTAGTAGTTGATTACAACAAAAATTTGCACACAAAAATGAAACTAAGCAGGGAATCAACTATTTTGGTGATTCTCAGATTAGTACAAATTTGATTAATAGTGCTGCCAGTCCCAAGTGTGGTAATAATAAGCAAGACACTTAAAATGAACTTTTGTATAGAAATTTGTTAGCTATCTCTCTCAGCTGTTTGAATTGTGTGTAAACAATTTTCACTGTTAACGTATGTTTCGCTTTTGCTGTTGATGCGAGTGCTGCCAAGGCATTTACACACAACAAACTAATCAGATTACGCATTTTGGGTCGTTCAAGCAACTGATTAACATCAAAATGCTAAATTTTTTTTATATAAAGTTTTTGAATCAACTAAGTAACTAATCAGTTGCCTGAATACCCTATTATTATTGTTTTATTTTAATTAATCATGTAAGATATTTGTAAATACTATAATTAAGAATAGCTATTAAAATATGTAAATAAAGCAATAAAACAAATATGTTGATACTGTTTTTCAGAATATCTAAATTTTAACCACTTACCAAATTCCTGAGATAATTAATATTAATAAACTAGAATTTTAAATGATTAATCACTTTTTCAAATATCAATTCTAACCCGTCAAATTTAAAATTGCATTTTATGCATGTAATTGTTAATAACTGTAAAGAAAGAGATGAAACTATGTTCGAAATTTGGTTAGTGTTCGATTTCTAAGCAAATAAGTGTTGCATCGAAATTTTAAAAGCGAATATTTTTACGCTTTAATATAGGTCTATAATTTAACATACAAATATTTAAATATACGCATATACTCTCAAAGTATGCTTGATTTTCCTTATATGACATATTAATTAAAATATTAGAAAAAATCGTTTATTAATTAGTTACAACATTTACCATCAGAGTTTTAAAAAAATAATTATGAGAAAAATGAAGATTCATAAATGAACAGAGCGACTGTAATTTTTTATATAAAACAGTGCAATAAGCCTGCTCGTCTATAAAGTTTGTAATATCAGAGGAGTTTACTAACCGCTGATGTCTCAGTCTAAAAAAACATAAAACGCGTTTGTTTCTAAGCGAGGGCCATAAGTAAAAAATTGCAAAAGATTTCTCAAAGATGCTACCTCTATATTTTATTGCCTTTTTAATCAACATATTGTAAGTTGATTAATTCTTTAAACCGATGGCCTCATTATTATACAATAATAAGGACAATAGCTTAATTTTCTTGTTCATTTCTTCTGCTTATTTTTTAGCCAGTTAATTAATTTTTGTAATCCTCACACTAGCAATATATTTTATATATATAATATATACTTAGTATCTATTTAATTAACAAAAGGGGTGAGTACCTATTAGAATATATCATATCAGCAGGTTTGAATATAGCTAACAAAGGTAATACACCCACATTTATTAACGCAATTAGAGAAGAGGTACTAGATCTCACTCTATGCACCAGAGGTATTGAGGAATCTATATGGAATTGGCATGTGTCGGACGAAGTGTCCCTCTCTGACCATCAACATATTAGGTTTGAAATTCCCGGTATATCCGCACAGCAAGAAAAAGTTTACCGACCCAGAAAAACCGACTGGCATAGGTACAGGGACTTAGTGTGTTCCGCAAACTTTTCCATAGCTAGGCCTTTACAAACTGTAGAAGAGTTAGAGTTAGCCGCTAACCACTTAGGTGAGGTATTACTAACCTCCTTTCATAACAGCACGGTTGCAGGCAATGCCACAATTTTGGGTAAGGTTCCTTGGTGGAACTCGCAACTAGCTAATAAGCGCAAATTAGTAAGAAGCTTATTCAATAGAGCAAAACGCTCAGGTAGCTGGGAAGAATATAAAATTGCACTCACAGACTACAATAAATCAATCAGACAGTCCAAACGGACTAGCTGGCGAAGCCACTGTGAAAGTATTGAGAAGCTGCCCGAGGCTGCCAGACTACACAAGGCATTAACTAAGGTCAAAAATAACGAAGTAGGCCTTTTAAAAAAACCCGATGGATCCTTCACCACTGGTCGTGAAGATACCCTTGAGTTTCTGTTGCAAACACACTTCCCTGGCTCTTTAATCGGAGCATCAACATCAAAATCAAACAGAGAAGTAACTGCTCCTACACGTCAGGAATACGCACTTTCTGGTGTTATCTTTGACAAGGACAAGGTGAAATGGGCGATCAGCTCATTCCTACCATTCAAGGCGCCTGGTGGCGACGGTATCTTTCCTGCTTTATTGCAGAATTGTACTGATATCATTCTAGACCCATTAATCAAACTCTTTAGGGCATGTTTCATTATGGGTTACATCCCTCACTCCTGGAGAGATGTAAATGTGATCTTTATTCCCAAATTGGGTAATAAACCCATGGACCAGCCAAAGTCCTACAGACCAATTAGTCTTACTTCCTTCTTATTAAAAACTGTCGAAAGGCTAATTGATCTGCACATACGGGAAAAAATGGGACAAACGGTTCCACTCCACCCCACACAATATGCCTATTCAAAAGGCAAATCTACGGAGGTCGCGCTGTATCACTTGGTCAGCAAAATTCAAAGCACCTTTCAATCTAAAGAAATTGCCTTATGTGCATTTCTGGATGTAGAAGGTGCTTTTGACAATACATCTTATGAGTCCATATCCAGTGCATTGGCCCGGAAAGATATAGACTCCTGTACAATAACGTGGATAGATAGGATGTTACGTGACAGGAACATATCTACCAAGTTAGGTAATACCACCGTTAGCATTAGTGCAGTACGGGGCTGCCCCCAGGGTGGGGTTCTCTCACCATTGTTATGGACGTTGGTAGTAGACGATCTACTAGTCAAACTGGAACAATCTGGCTACCATGCCATAGGTTATGCAGATGACTTGGCAATCATAGTTTGCGGTAAATATGAGGCCACACTGACGTAATGCAGGCGGCCTTACACAAAGTTTCGAGCTGGTGTATAAAAGAAGGCCTAAGTATTAACCCAAAAAAAGCAGTAATTGTACCATTTTCCAGAAGGTACAAACTGAACTTAGGGTCCCTATCTATGTATAAAAGATACGGCTATTGAATGTTCCGACGAAGTTAAATATCTAGGAATCACCCTAGATAAGCGTCTTAATTGGAACACTCACCTGGATAATGTAATTGGCAAAGCCACAAGGGTAATGTGGACATGCAGGAACGCATATGGTAGGACCTGGGGCCTTAGTCCCAGAATTCTCTCATGGATCTACCGTACAATGGTCAGACCAATTGTATTCTATGCAGCTCTTGTTTGGTGGAATAAGGCACAACAAAAAGCTGCAATACTCAAATGCAATAAACTGCAAAGACTCGCATGTATCGCTATGACGGGAACTATCAGAACATGTCCCACATCAGTTATGGAGTCCATAGTGGGTTTTACCCCTCTGCACCTCTTCATTAAAAAGACGGCAGCCCTGAGTGAAGCTAGGCTACACTCTGGTATCAATATGCACGGAAGTCTTGACAGTCAAAACTCTATCTGCAGACTAGTTCCTGGCATAGAGATCTGCGATAGGACAGATCGCATGAACATGGAACTTCGCTTCGGTAGAAAGTTCGAAGTCCTCATTCCCGATCGATTGGATTGGGTAAATGGCACCCCTGGAGCAGAACCAGAAGTGATATCATGGTTTACCGATGGTTCAAAAACCACGGAAGGTGTTGGTGCTGGAATATTTGGTCCTAACACCAGAATCTCGCTAGCGCTGGGTATATGGCCCACTGTCTTCCAAGCAGAGGTTCACGCCATCGAGGTCTGCGCTCGTATCAACTTAAACAACGGGTTGAAAGGCGCCCGCATCTGTATTTACTCAGATAGTCAAGCGGCAATCAAAGCTCTATCCACCTGGAGGTTTTTCTCAAAACTTTCATTAGACTGCTTTGATATGTTGCAACAGCTGGCAAGCAGAAATAAGGTGACGCTTTGCTGGGTGCCTGGACACACAGGTATAAAAGGAAATGAATCTGCCGACAGCCTTGCAAGGGCAGGTTCTGCAACTAAAATCCGTGGACCAGAACCCTATTGTGGACTAAGTTGGTCAACAACTAGTTATCTAATTGATAAATGGATCTCAGCCGAGAGAGGTCGCTACTGGAGTGACAATCGAGGTAACCGTCAGGCAAAACAGCTGGTTCATCCATATAGTTATGGCAAGGCATCCCTCCTCAGCAGATCAGATTTGAGGTTGCTGGTGGGATATTTAACGGGTCACCATGGACTGCGTTATCACCTTAACAAAATAGGTCTGTCCGAAGAGATAGAGTGTCGACTATGCTTAGAGGCAGACGAGACTACGAGCCACATTCTCTGTGACTGCCCAGCCTTGATCTGGGCAAGGAGGAAATCACTGGGAGGAGAGCTGCTCTCTCCTTCTGACATTAGGAGGTCCTCAACGGACGACATTCTGGCCTTCATTCGGAAAGCGGAATGTCTTCTGTTCAATTAGGGTCAGTTACGGCACAAAAGATCAATCTGGTCGCAGTGCTCTGCTCCAGTGGGAACTAGTACCCTGTTTATTTCTATTCTATTCTATTCTATCTATTTAATTTCGCTTTCCGGCAGGCTTTTTAGTAAAATATCTTCTTTATTACTGCTTTTGTCTTTTTTTTATAATTTTATAATAATATTCACACTTAGTAGTTTATATAGTTCATCGGTATACATTATTTTATAAGTGCTGCCATTTCTCAGATTAAACCACATCATTTTCATTGCTTTCTCTATGCAAAAGCGGTCAATTTGTTCATCGCTGCCTCTGTAATACTAAGAATTTTGTAATTGTAGGTTATCACTAATATGTAGTATACCAATTTTTCATTTTTGCTAAAGTGATTGGTTGGTTTTCTTTCCAGGTTATAAAAATTTTATTTTAAAACCAATCTGCTTCATTGATAAACGAGATTATTTTTTAAAAATCTAAGTTCGAAATAGATCTTGTATTCAGTTTGTTTCTTTTTTCTGACGTTCTCCTGCATTTTTACAGCTCCTGCATTTTTAATTGTAAGGAATGTCCAATATTTCGGCATGAGTCAGTAATCTGCCAGCACTGCCGTCTCTATCTATTGAGGATATACTAAATATGTTTTGGAACAGCGTTTAATAAGATTAGTATGTACTCCTTAACAAACAACGCTTCTGATCCTTGTTGACCCACAATTTCATTTTGTTGTATTCCTCTCGAACTCAAACCAAAGATATTGGACAGTGATTACGTAGTCAGTTTAGTTTTACACTACTTTACCAGCTTTGGGTTTTTACTATGCAAATTGAAAAATTGCAATCTGCTGATTTTTAAGATTCCTTTCTGAAATCATTTGACGCGACTCGTTGGTACCAAATATTTCGACTTTGTAGAACAAGATGAGCTCACAAGATGAGAGTATCTCCTTACGCCTTATCATCTCTTAGCATCGTTTTTTACATTCAAACCGTCTCAAACTTTAATTTATATATAGATAAATCAAGTCAAGCCTTCGGGTATAACTTACGTTTAGTAGTTGATATTTTAGGTCGAATAATTTTTATTTTAAATGTAGAAAACATTTAAAACGGAGATTTAAAAATCTGTGAACACGGTTTTCTATAGTGACCTATAGCAAGGCCACCAGAAGACTAATATCTGCACGTAACATATAAATGAGATTGTTAGATTTTTTTTATCAACTTGTGTTCAATATCTCTGTAAGCATCAACCCAGAGAAGAGAAATGTTGAACTACTTTGACATTTAGTTGAGAGATGCATAACACACTTCTAAGATATAATTTGAACTGTGCTGAAGAACTCTAAAGCAGCTTGATGTAAACGGGTGATCAGTTTTGGTTGAGACTATATATTTGTTAATGGTGATTGAAAAAATATTAATGCTAGTATAATATCATTTACTAAATGTATCTAATTTAAAAAGCTTAGAAAAAATGGAACCTAGTCGGGCCACATGTCATCTATATGATATTTGAACTATTTATCTAATTATATCTACTGCTAATTCGATATAATTATTATACTTCTAATGAAGCAAAAGAGTTTACTTACAAAATTGATCAAAAGCAGCTTGTGAAGCACTAAAGGAGTTGAAAAAATGTGATCCTTGATAACTAATACTAAGAAAGCTATACATACGCCTTGCAATATTGCAAAACAAATCTTTTATGAACTGAAAAACCTTTCAGAAATTAGTACATAAAAAGGCAACACCATCATTTTTCGTTTTGTTTATACCTTACGCGTAATCAATCGGGACAAATGAACCTGTGCCCTTTCACCCCTAATTGTGATATAATTACAAGTTATACTTTATAATGGAAGAAGGACCTATACTGTAATGTTCATAGAGCAACAGGAATAAGCATTAATTAACAAATAAAGAAAATACAAAGAAAATATATTTGCCAAAATATATTAATTAATAGCACTCACCAAAACGATAAATAGGAAAAAATCTTTTTCAATCAACTATAAATTTGGATTTTTCTGGACTCGTTGCTGCTTCCAAATTGATCGTTTAACAAAACATATAAGTTTACATTAATAAAATATTTTTTTATTTGATATGTAATAAAATTTTTTCGAACGACGCACACTTGATTCGATTTGGATACTATGTTATATAGATGTTTGAAAAAAAGCAAATATGACGTGTATTTCGAAGTTCGAAAATTGTTCGATTTACATGGAGTGTTAGTGTTGCTCTGGACTTTAAAACGCAAGTATTTTTACGCTTTTTGTGATATTTATGAAAAATACGCATCATTTAATGAAAATAAATCACATATTTTTAAATTAAAAGATAGCTTATTTTCTAATAAACAATCAAAAAATAATTTGCGGTTAGATATTGTTGCTAAAGTTTAAAAGTTTGCTAGTTAATGCATTGCTAGTTAACAAAAATCGTCACTAAATTGCTCTACAGGAATAATTTAAATTATATTTCACTTCATCTATTATAGACTTTTTTAGAAGTTTGAAGAATTTTTAAAAGTAAAACGGATGTGCGCATTATTGTGGTATATATATTTCGTGACAACAGAGCTTAGAATTTCTTTAAGCCTTTGGATTCTTCATAGAAACTCTTCTGGCTGAAATGTTAACACATTACTTTTCGAAAATTGTGCGAAAAAAAACCAAGCTCTCTACCAAGTATTTATTCAAAAGTTTTGGTAGTTTTTTAAAGTTTAAAATCATGTTCATCAACTGTCCTAGTACAGCTATACATAGATTCCTCAACTAATTTTTTATTGATAGATTTCTTTTGACATCCTTAAGATTTCGATATTTATGTTAGCACTAAAGCCTGACTTAGAGTTCTAATAAATGTGACTTTCATTTAAAAAGATAACTTACACATGCATTATAAAATTGGCAGTAAAAGTTTAATATTTCAATGTGTATATAAATTGAATCAATTGAGTTTCTGTAACTTTCAATAAGACAAATATTCTGTTTCGTTTATGATTGACATGACTATTAGAGATCTACAGTTTGTGATAGTTTTTTTAACCAGTCTATGGGATAGTGGGTAATAGGCAGCTTATATTTATTGGATTAGAAATGCAACAAACAATATTTTTACTGGCAATACTAGTGATAGCTGTCTATTATCACTCACCAGAAGACACACATTCATTCTATGCACCCCATTTCCTAAATAATGCTATTAGCGATATCTGTCTGGTAATACATAGAATAGATGTTCGTCTTCTGGCGAGTTCCAGACGGTTGCGGAATAAATGTGTAATACTCATTGGAGAGAATTCTTAATCAATTGGCATGTCTACCAATGCGACAGTATCCTGTCACTACAGCGATTATTTCAGACATCAATTAACGTGAAAGCCTGAACATTTGCTCAGTTATTTTTAGTTAATGGACGGACTACAGCGTACGTACGAATATAGTTAGACAATTATGCTCATTGCACGTTATTTGGTTAATTTTTTTAAACGTTTTGTACGTACAGTTGTATACCTAGATTTCTACATAGGTTACGATTAATATAACGGAAAGCGTTTGGTCACTTCTGGTCAGTAGATCAGATTTAAAACGGCCAAATATGTTCGACATTTCATTTAGATTTACGATAGTCGGATATATGTCTATATGTTGTAAAAACAACAACAAGTGTCATGATGACTGTAAATGTTTATATTCCTGCCAAATATTTTATTTTGGCGAAGTCATATATTGCAATATGTATAGCCGCAACTCCTGTCTAAAAAATACTACAGTACTTCCCTACTCGGGAGAATAATTTAATTTGAGCACCTCAAGAATACACCAACGACCTCATTTCCATGTTTTAAATTATATGTGCTAGTCACTTAGTAATTATCTGTCTAAGCACTTATTTATAATCTAGGCCAATCTTCTGTTTCTCCTACACCAGTATTTTCTTGTAACAAGATAATATCTACATACATATGTAGAGATATTAGTGCCAGATATAGAAGTGAAGTTAAATTAATTATTAGAAAGTTATTTTAAGTCTTATTAAACAATTATGTTAAATAACTAAAAAAAATGTCTTAATTAGATAAATTAGTTAATTTCATTAATTAATATTTAAAATGCATTTTTAAATTTAAATAATACTCACATTAGCCATTTTGCTCAACCGAACTGTGTGGCTTCAGACGAAAGTAACGACACACTTTTCAATTGTTTGTAAACAAATTTTTATTAACTTTTTATAAAACGTTTTTAACAGTTTTTATTGAAAATAGTTATTTTTATTTGTAGTTTTTTTATTAATTTGCAAAATGCTGAAATAAAAATATTCTTTTGATCGACACGTTGACACAAGCCACGTTTGTTGACTGAAGAACGCGATTTGTGTACGGGAAATATTTCATACTTCATATTTCATATTTTTTTTTCATTTTTATTGAATTTATTTTAAACAATTTTTTGTTGCAGCAAAATTTTTTGCTTTATCAACAAATATTCGCGATGTTGATAAGAACTTTTTAGAAGACAGAAAAGGGCGCAGGTGGCGCGGTTGAAATTAACGTGAGTAAAATGATTAAAAAATTCTCACGGAATTTTTTTTTTTCAAAGACTACTGTTGATAGAAGTATCACCAATAATAATTTTAAAGTATATAAATATATGTATATATTGTAAAACAAGAGCAAAACAAATTAGGCAAAAATATAATGACGAATTTCAGCCGTATTTGAAAAAAGATAAAAACAAAAATATTCTCGGAGTGTACAAATACTAAACAAAATTTAACACGTTGAAGGTAATATAATAGATCAGACCGATGTAGATGAGAGCGGATAACCAGAGAATACCAGATATACCTACATTGTGAGAAAGTTTACATGGTTTGTATTTAACTTGCTATTAAATCTATAGCAATAAATAATATGAAAATAAATAAATATGAAAAATATTAAACAAATAATAGATCATTCACACTGTCTCATTTAGGTGGTTTTGCTTATTATAGCCATTAGTAGCTATGGTGGGATTATTTACTATAGAAAGAACTTTCATATTAGTTAGCTCATTATATTTCCTTTTAAATTTAGGCACCACCACAAAGTACCAAAACGTAAAAATACGAAATTGGCAATACTGAAGTGACAGTCTACATAACAAGCATTTTCGGCCCGAAAAAGCCAATATTACCGTGCCCGAGACACTCTACATAACATACATTAGAATAATTTCAAACCGATCCATTATTTCCTGGCAAAATTAAGTTTAAAATAAAAAAAACTCACATGCTATTCATGAAACATGTTGACCTCCAGAAGAACTAATAGATTCATATGGTTATCTGGAGGCGTAATTAAACTTTTCTGTCAGGAAAATAAAAATGGTATTACAGTTGTCAATAAAATATGATATAGATGTATATATAGTTACGGATATATTGTGGCATGAACTAGATGACTGTGACTCGGACGATATGCAATCTACATCTTGTGCTGCAATCAATTTAGTGAAAAAAGTTTTATTTAATTATCATTTACTTTTTTATGGGTTCTCAATTGTATTATTCACTGCGCTACTTAACAATATCCACACACTCAAGACGTAAGAAAAGTATAATAAAATCGCTTTATTACTGCCAGAAAGTTCAGTACTAACACATTTAACACATTTAGGTCCAATATTCTATGCTAAACATTTTTTCTACATTTGTTATTTATTTTTTTAAAAATATATAAAAACATTTTTTTAAATACAATTAAATAAATTCATAATACGTGATACATTACATTTTTCTTCTGTCTTATCATTGCGATAAAATAAAAAAGTGGGTAAAGACTTTGTTTCTACTTTTGTGTTTGATAGTCAGTTTAATAGATACTTAATTACATTGGACTAATTAAAGTAGATTATTTTGTATTAATTATTCAATAAAAATTTAATGATAGCAAAATACTAAATTACTTATGGCTATTTAAACTCACGTAACTATAAATATTAGATAGTATAACCCGAAAAAAACAGAAATAACTGAAAAAATATTAAAATATCATTAATTTAATTCTAATTTGTTTATTAATTATGGAATATTATATGTAATTTATTAATGAAAACAAGCTTTTATGTGTAGTGCCGCAATGCATGAAATCACTGAACTATTAAAAGTAGATTTCTTCAAATCAATCTATTTTTGTGTTCTTCCGCCACACGGCAGGGCAGAGAAAAAGAAATGTGGAAATGGCAAATTAATAAAATAATTAGTATTTTTTTTAAAGGCATATTTATTTAATATGCATTCCATATAATACATGTATTCCTTGGTCTTCTCTATTATTTTTATTATATCTGCGGACTTTCACTTGATACCTTTGAAGCGTGTAATAAACCACAACTAAAAATATACTTCACGCTCTTCTCATTGCGAACCATAATAAAAATATTATCTTTAATTAAATGCAATTAACACCCTATAACCGAAAAGCCAGCTGACTAAGTAACGACGTAGTTCGCAATTTCGCAAAATTAAAATACTTTTCATTTTACAAACAGCTTTTCTATTGCAAATGTTCAGGTTTTATTTCATCGAAAATATATGTCGATTTTTTAAAATAAAAATAAATACAATTAGAAAGCTATTAAGCGAAATGTAAAGAGAAAGATTAAGTTTACTGCAACCGGCAGTATTTGCATCGTGAAAAATGAATAATCGTTAATTTCAGAAATAAAATAGTAGTAATAGTGTTAGGCAACGTAAATCAAAATATCAAAATATAAAAGATCGAGCCTTTTTTCTTCTTTCAAGCTAACATGATAAAATGAATCATAAATGGTCACGACAGTTCTCATATAGCAGAGAAAGAAGGAGACATCAAAGAAATAAGGAAAACATTCATTTTAATACACAACAAAAACTCTATGATAGATTTGAAAACTAATATTTATCATTATATTGGGGGACTAAGCACTGCAAGCTAGAATTATATTCCGCCACCTTAATGGACTTCAAGTCCGATTTATTTGATAAATTAAGCATCCAACTTATCTTCTCTTCATACATCAGTGCCGGGCACGTTTTCATCATAAAACATGAGAGTTATATTCTTTCCAATAAAACTTACAAGTTCCACTAGAATAAATTTCCAGATTTTCAACCTACAATTTAACTACGAGATATATGATAATTTAACCTGCAATGCCCTCTCACAACTCTTGTAATTATTCTGAGTAATTAATATAATAGTATAGAATAGAATAGAATACTACATCGCAGAGAATGGAACACTGTTGTCGTAATTGATCTTTTGCGTTATTTATCTACCCTAACAGAACAAGAAACACTTCATCTTTCATATAAAACCAAAAATATTAGCTGCTGAAGACATCTTAACTTTGGATAAAGATGGGAACTCTCGACCTAGCAATATTCTCTTGGCATAAATCAAAGCCAAACTACAGACAATCGATCTCATATTCTTCTAAACAGAAACCCATTTCGATCTTTTCAGACAGACTTATCTTGTTAAGATTATCACGCAGACCCATTAAATAACCTGTCAACAACCTTAGTACATAAAGAAAACTAAGGCTATTAATATTATATGTATGCTTTATATTATAACTAATCCAAAAATATTCACATTTAATAGCAAGCTGAAAAGTGATTACATTGACAATAATTATGAGCTATGTTTTACAAGAAAAAAATGCTTTACAGCGCACTATATTTAGAAAAAAATTGAGAGAAATCCTGAGTCTATTTACAGGTTAACTAATATGAAATCATTATTTGTTAACAAGACGATCAAAAAACGACCACTTGGATCTGAGGAAATTTTTTACTTTTATAATTATTATTAAATATTTCGTCGTGGTCAATGCATTACTATAGCTTTCTATCAATTATGATCAGATTATAGCAGACTCGTATATGATTTTTTTATAGATTGCAATTTCTGCACCAAAAAATATTACCTCAAAAGACTCTTAAACTCTGCTTAATTTATTAATTTTCAATTTTACACAATTTGTACTGAAACCCTTTGCGGGTTCTTCGAATAAATATTCTGTACACTATTAAGCTATACATCTACTGACTTATAAGTTCACTTATAAGCCCATCTACTTTTCACATAATCACAAATATTGATTTAAATGACATAAACACTTATTACGGTTTTACATATTTCAACGAATAATAAGACATAAAAAGGTTGGCTAATAACCCAATAAATCATCTTACAGTCACATTTCTTGCAATACAAAAAAAAACACGAAAGCTGCGGTAACAAACCACAAAATTATTGATTCAAAAATAAAAACCTCTTCTTCGCTTGCCAAAGAAGCAATAACGTTCGTAAGCAATTTTTATGATTTTAATTTGATAAATTTTCTGAATTTCGGATTATAACTGGAGAAGTTGGGAATCGATTTTTTAGACAAAGGCTTTTAATGGTCGCTAACAATTTATATAAGTAGATTTCAAAAAGATTATCTGAATTGTGAATAATAATTTACTTTAGTATTTGCAAATGGAATTCTTAGGTGAAATATTTTTATGGCCGCAAGGTGGAGTACAATTTCCTTGAAAAATTGAGAATCAAGTTCTCATATAGAAGCTTCTAATGTTTGCAAGAATTTTTACTTCAATTTATGAAGATTTTTTTAACTTTGGACCATAACTTCCTTGAGAAATTGGGAAGCATCAAATAGATGCTTCTAACAGTCGTAAGCAAATTTAAAAAGATTATCTAAATAACATATTTCTTGTTGTAAAAGTTTAGTGTCAAATTTTCAGATGTAACCCTTTGATGGCCGCGAACAATTTTTTTGAGTTCACTTTGACAAGATTATCTTAATGGTGAACTGTACCCTCCTTGCAGGGCTGAGAATCGCATTTTCATATATACTGTTTTCATAATCTTAAGCAATTATTACTGAATTTATGACTTAAATTTGAGCAGATTGTCTAAATTTGAACTATAGCTTCCATAAGTAGTTGGGAGTCAAAATCTCAAATAGATGCTTCTGACATTCACATGTGATTTGGGTTCTAACTTTTAATTTGAAGTTTAGACTAAATTTTTTGAATGTTTTAAGTTTGGTTTATGGTTTTTTAATTTTCTCACAAGTCTCTGAATTAAAAGTTTTAATGTTTAAACATTTTCACAACGTACCACAATTAAAACTAAATTTTTTTTTAATTTAATTTAAAAAATTTTATTAATAACAATTTTCGATTTTTTTTTAAACAGCACAAATTTCACGAAAT